AGTTACATGTTAAAATTATCTTGTATAGGATTATATAATCTTGTTTTGATTGGCTAATAATCATGTGATATGCATTTATGGAGGATTTATATAGGTGGGCCAGGAAAATAAGATGCATTTGCAAAATAAAGAATATGCATTTATCTATTAAGCCTATTGATGGGCCAGATAATTAATATGCATTTAGAGAGGTTATGCATTTAGGGGGGATGTATTTAAAGAGGTCTGACTGTATGAATAAGAACCAACAATCTGGTTTAAAATTTTCTGAATTAGCCCAATCAAAAATCCTGAAGAGTGATTTTCTAGCAAAGATTCTATATAAGAAATAGTCTAAGAAAATCTGCCTTCAATAGCTAATGCCAAAAGCAAGTTTTCATAAACTATTTCCTATATATTTAGAAAATCAACCTTATTTTAGAATAACACTACAAGTAGGCATTATTTTGCATTTGTATTTGTATATAGTAGTGTAAATTTATTATTTAGTATATATAAATAAAAGATTTGTAATTAAGCAACAATAGAATTAGCTGTAAAAGAATTTTTAATGGTATTTCTTTAAATATTAACTTTATATAATAATAAGTATTGAGAAAATCTTTACTTGATTATTAAATTACCTATCTGTGTAAATTATTATATACTTTAGTTAATTATATAGCAACAATTTTTATCTGGATTAAAATTTGTTAGTAATTTCAAGTAATTAATACAATATTAAAAATGCAAATTTATATTAATATTTATAAATTGTTATAAATTAGTTAAGTGTATAGATTATATAAATATTTTTAAATACACTATATATATATATATATTGGTATTAAGGTGAGACCTTGCTTATATTTTCATTGGGTAATTTATATAAGTAATTACATAAAAACTATATAAAAACTAAATTTGTATAATAACAAGTATTTATAAATTATATGCAAGAATAGGAGCTTAGACTAAAAGCTAAAGCTAATTATCTGTGATCTAAACCTACTAGAGTAATCAAAACTTATCTAGTTTTGTACTATATATTCTGGTTTGGCTTATAAAAGTATGGTTTTAAAGAAGTAAATTTAGAGAAGTCTAACTATATACTTTTATATTTATTTACTATAGTATCAGATATAGATAGATATTATTTTACAATAAATAGAAGTTATTTGATTTATATTAGCTCTCTTATTAAACACCTAGTATAATAATTGGGTTCTAGATTCTAAATTAAAAAGATATCAAAAGTTGGTTAGTAACTAGAAAGAAATTATTATATTAAAGTTTAACTTTATAGTAAAAATATACAAATATTGGATTTATTATATAATTTTTTTAAGTCTTATATACATTAGGCTATATAAACTTAATTTTTTAGTTCTTATAACCCAGCCAAGTTATATTTTAAAATTTTTTTGAAAAAAATTTTTATATATTTTAATAGGCAATAGGATTTTAAAAAAAATTTTTAAAAAATTTTATAAAATTTAAAATTTTTTATATATAAAATTTTTAAATAAAAGTCCAGGTGGGCGGATTATTTTTTTTGTCTTATATTATAAGAACCAAAAAATTAACTTTGCATGACCTTATAATAGTGTACTTTATATTTTATCTTAATAGTTTTTTTTTTATTTACTTTTTAGTTTAGTTAAGTTTAAATTTAGTTAACTTTATAAAAGCTTTTTTTTTTATATATATATTTTTGTTTTTCTTTTTTATTTTTATTTTTTTTTACTTCTTATTTTGATTTATTTTTTTTATTTATTTTTTTTTTTGAAAATTTAGCAAACTTGCTAATACTTTATTAGGTTTCATTATTTAATTTATAGATAAAATATAATTTTAGCTAAAGTTATCTAAAGCCTATTTAAATTACAAATATTAGCTAATCTGGCTCTTTGCAATACCAAAATATCCAAATTATTTATGTTCAATTTGCTATACTAAAGTTTATCTTTATATCAAAAAATTTTGCAACTAAATAATTTAATATATTACTGAATAGTATTTATAGCCTATCAAGATTGCTTTCTTTTTAATCTTTTTTTTCTAGCTTTCTAAGCAGAAGAATTCATAGTCTTTAACTAACTTATAAAAAAAAAACTAATATCAACAAAATATAAGAGAATAAAACAAAAAATTAATAACAAAAATAAAAAAAAAAAAAAAGAAACAGGCAAAAAAAAATACATCTATGAAAGCTTTATTATAGCATATGCTAGATACAGGTATAAAAATCATATATTAAGTTAAAATTTTGTATATTTCTATTATAAAGCTAGGTTTTATCTTTAAATTTTTTTTCAACTATATTATCTAATTCAAGTTAGTTTATTAACCAAAATACTAATTGGTTTATTACATAGTGTAGAAACATTATTGCCAAACAATCTTGTATTTATGTACTACTTTGTTTATCTAAAAATAGAAAGTGTAAACAATGCTAATCTTTTAGAAATGATAAACTAGAATGTTTACTTTTTGTCAAAATTTTTGTGAAAATAGCAAAAAGGTAAAGTAAAAAAAAGAAAAAACCACTTGTATACAAAATAAAAAAGTATGGGTTTCTTTTACTAAAATCAACTAAAGTCTATACTAGAATATATATAATACTAAGACTTTTTGGTAAGTAATAAACTCTAAACTTGTTAGCAGATAGCATATGAAAACTATCTTTAAATGGCAAGTGCTATATCTGCAATAAGGAGGCATCCATAAATAATGTCATGCTTGAGGGAAGGGAGGGGTTCCACAAAATATAATGATTTTCTAATATTTAAAAGAGGGTTCCCCAAAATATAACGCAATTTTTTTATAAAAATTTGTTTAAAACTTGATCCAGTGGTCCAAATTAGATGATTTTGGTACTATTTGAATCTTCTCGAGAAGAGGATTCAAATGGTACCAAAATATTTGATTTGGATTACTAAATCATGTTTTATTAACGAAAACTATTGGTTATTATGTTTTCTTATAAAATTACTATAAAATTGATAGTATTTCGTTAATAAAATGTGATTTAGTGATCCAAATGAAATAATTTTGGTACCATTTGATTCGTCTCATAGAGATGAATCAAATGGTACTAAAATTATTTGGATTTGATTACTGAGTCATAATTTATCTAAGTTTTTATATATAAACATATGAATTTTTAAAAAATTTTTATATAGAGAGAGGGTCAAGAGCTACAGTACTATGTAGAGGTATATAATATTATTTATGGATGCCCCCTAAGTGATAAACTCTAAAACTACTGGCAAATAGCATATAAGTACTATCTTTAAGCAATAGCTGCTATTCTATAGTCTTATTTTTCATGTCTTATAGTCTAATATAGCTGTTTGCATTTTTTTTTAGAATAAAGTTTTTTGAAAATTTTTAGTAAAAGTAATTGTTGAAAAGAGTGCTATAAGAAATTATTATTATTTTTTTTTTTATATACTATAAATCTTTTATATATACTATAAATTTTCAAAATAGTAAATAAGATGTTATTTTAAAAATCATGCTTTCTAAAAATAGCATGGATAGTTTTGAAATAACGCCTATGCATGTTCCAAAATAGTGTGCACCTTAAGAAAAGTATTGGGTAAATATCAGAATACAATACTTCCCGATATACACCTGATTTCAGTATGTTGGAGCATATTAGAAGTCTTTTATCAATATTTATTTAATATTTATTCATTTGACCTGTTTATAATATTAGTAACCAGAATTAATACTTTATCTCAAAATAACACCCATGGGCATATTCAAAATAACACACACATAGTCAAAATATCATACAGATGCCTGCTATTTTGAGAATTTATACAGTAGTATATACTGTATATAAATTTTACTTTTTTTTGTTTTCAGTAAAGAAAGAAAAATCTAAAGAGTTTAGCTTTTAACAGGGCTAACATAGTCTTCTGCTTCTTCTAAAAGGTGGTGTAATAAATCACACTAGTGGTTATTCTTATAAAAAAACTAAATAATACAAACCTGCTATATATAAATAAATAATTTATAAATTTTTATTTTTTAATAAATATACAAACAAGACTGTCAAAGAGTTAAAAAAAATAAAAATAAAATAAATAAATTTAACCTCTATAATTGTCACACTTCTTTATAATCACACTTTTGTGTAACATAAATATGTAACTATAAAGAGTATTTCACTAACTTACTATAATAAAGAATAGTGATTCTAATTAAAAGTTCAGGAAAATTATAGCGTTACTCGAAAAATCGGTAAATGGAAAGTTTGTGACTTGTAAAATATTACAAATCCGGTTCTATTAATTTAGTTCGGATTTAATGATTCAATCCGGATATAAATTATTAAATCCCGATCTGGGTATTAATTCTAGCCGGATTCGCTAGTGCTATTATATCAACAAAAAACGAAAAATGTAAATAATTAACAAACTATATGTCGCAGCTGATGCTGAAATCTGGGGTCCCCATTTAAATCTATAATACCTACTAAAATTTACATATACTTTTTTACTAACAACACTACCCTCAAACCCTAACCTAACTCTAAAAAAAAACCCTAACGAAAAGGCCCGAAAATTTTTAAAAATTTAATAATAAAATAATCGAAATTTCAGCATCAGCTGCGACACTATATTATAACATACTTCCGACACTAGAATAAAATTATTAGTAATTCAGTTTTAGAGTTTGGCAATGGGGACAAATTTTCAGTTCTGGATATAATCTATAGCACGGAAAAAGATATATTTTATTAATATTACTACTATGATACCCAATTACTAAAAAGATGCAACAAAAAAATTATTAGCTAAGAAATAGTTGTTACTATATACAATTGTTATTTTTTGAATAAAATTTGATAAAATTTGATAAATTGATGCGTCTAATTTAATAATATAATATGCTAACAATTAAGAGACAATTTGATGTAATGTATGTACATTTTTAAAAAATGCAAATTTGAATGCGAAATAATAAAACAATACATGTCTTCTTGAGCAAATCGTATTTTATTATTTCTATAGATGAGTGTAAAGATGATTGTAATAAGCAGTGAGAAATGTATGCCTTTGCCTCGTCAGTGCAACGCCGTGTTTTCGTACAACGTCTATATATTGTTCCTCATCTGTAGATGCCAAAATAATCGCATCTTCTTCATTTCCCCAAAAATATTTTTCATCGATTACTAATATTATAAAAATAATTCATTATTTTGGATATATTAAAAAATGAAAGACATGGTACTAAATGTCTATACTCGGAAATCTTATGCAATTTTTTTTTAAATACCGACCGGAAATCCGTAGAACTTATTTAGTTCTAAAAAAAATTTACGGCCAGTTTTTAAGAGCTGTATAAAAAAGTACAACACATGATTCCGAGTATATTCATATTAATAAAGCAAATCGATTTTGTTCATTTATAAGATTTTTTTGAACCCAAAACAGTCTTTAAATCATCAAATTAGTTGGGAGTTATTTTTGTATAAGTTTATGAATAAAAAACGATTTGCTTGATTTTCCACATACTATCATAACCGTATCGAAAATTAATACTTACCATTATTGTTTAAGTAGTCTCTAACCACTTCGAAATTACATGTAGTATCGCCTAGTAATCGAATCACTTCTGTCTTAGGAACATGAAACTCTTCAGACAATTCTTTAATTTTAAGCAAAAATTCTTCATCGACAGCTGAATATCTCGGACGTTTAGCTACCGGTTGTTCTTGCACATCTTCATCAATGTGAAGTCTTCTGCCAAGTATTCCAGATGTTTGCTGTGAAGTATCTTGTATCTCTGCATAGTTTATTTGATCAATCACATCAGTGACCTCGTTTTCTGCAGTTCCAGATGTTTGCAGCGAAGTATCTTGTATCTCTACAAAATTTGTTTGATCACTCGTATCAGTGATCTCATTTTCTGCAATTTCAGATGTTTGCTGAGAAGTATCTTGTATCTCTGCATGATTTATTTGATCATTTGTATCAGTGGACTCATTCTCTACTGGTTTATTTATAGCAGATTCTAACATTTCTTCTGTTGCTAGATCATCTGGATCTGCATGATGCGATGTAGATGAATTATTGGTTGTCTGGACGTTACTTATTATTTGTGCATTGCGGGCAACGTAAATATTGTCTACAATCTTTTTGAGTGCCCGAGAACGCCAAGATTGCCAACTATGTCGCGGATTCTTAAAATTTAGAGATTTTAATAACCCAAATAATTTATAATTTAGAACAGAATTATCAACCTTAAAATATATATAATACACACGATTTTTTCAAACTGTTTATATATCTCATTTCCACTAAGACATTCAGTTTCAGGTAATGACTTCAGATAATTTTCCAAGTCTATATCATCTTGTAGCGTAAAATGACGTCGACTACGTACAATTCATTAACCAAAGCATATAAAAATTATAACATTGTAAAGGATTTACAGAGTACATACCCGGATCTTACGCCAGAAAGAATCAGTTCATAACTACTTGGGGGTCGTAGCCTTTTGGCAGCAATCGAATCCAATACAAATTTATAGCTAATTATTTTATCAGCTCCTTGAGTTCGTATTTGAGTTTTTGTAGGGTCACCAAGTACAAAATCTGCTTCACAGTAATTGTCAGTCACTTCGCCACCATGTTCCTGCAGATTCAATGTTTTTTTTTAAAAGGTAAGATAAAATAACTATTTGAAACTCGTTCAAAGACACCACAAATAAGTCTAACATAGATGACCTTCTATTTGTTATACCATTGTGACAATTAAAGAGGTCACCTATATTAGACTTAATGCACTTTTACGAATAATATATACCATAACTCACTTTTATTTTTTCCACTAAAGTGTGCCTTTCGGGTACATCACGCTTGACGCCAAACACAATTGGCGTTTCATTATTAATGAACAAAAATCTTTTTTCAGGACTACGAGCACGACTATTGAGACTTTTAGACAATGTTGTTGACTGAGAACTGGAACTCATATTATCAATATTCAAGTATTTTCAACAAGAACTTTGCAAGAAAAGAATCCCACTAGAATATAATATATACAAAAAGTCAATAAAAACTAACGGGGGTGTGCTTTCAAATTATCACATAGGAGCTTAGGGTGTGATGCTAAATAATCATGTAAAAATAACAATTTACAGGTGACGTATTATTAATGCATCACTTCTTACCGTATGTGATGATTTTCCTCCCCTTATCGTTATATAAGACTTTCAGATAAACAATAAATGAAACAAAAAGAACGCACATACAATTAGTTAATGCCAACCAATCAAAATGACTATATAAAACGCGACAATAATGAATTTCAACTCAAAGGCTATGCAGAACGCGCTTATAATATGCTAAGTTTGATGAGTTTATTGTCTTGACTCTCCTCAAGACAGACCGCAGTCAACGACTGAATGTCGGCTGTCAGTACAGCCACAAATGACTGACTAATCCACGTACGTCGTACGTACATAATACGAATTACTGAATTAGGAGAAAAAGACAAAATTATAGGTACAATAGTGATGCCCCAATGATCCGTAACTAGTCACGACATAAACTTTAACTAGTTTCGGATTAAGCCGTAAAATCACTAGTAAATAAACATGACATAAGCAGAATGATTTGCAATTTACATTTGTAACACGAGACAGAATATCAAACATGAAACCACGTGTGTGAATTTATTAATAAACGCATTGTACAAAATTATCGTTATTTTATACGTAGATTAAAATATTTGTGCATATGAATGGCTTTTGAGAATCGCTATTTAATGATAATCGTTGCCATAGTTCTTATAATTCAAGTAATAAATTTATCTCCTCATATAAGCTTGTGTACCAGAATTCTTTGATACGTTTCGTTTAAAACCGTTGATTAAGTCTACAACAGTAGGATAAATTTGATCCTTTAATTTGTATCCATCTGGTCTAATAGATCCAGTCTATACAATTAAAATAAATTACAAATGAGTTAAATTAATTAATCGAAAATTAATAACTAATTTATCGAAACATACCCAGGTATCAGTTTGAGACCCCGGCTTGAACTTGAACATAAATGAGAACCAGCCAGGAGTCTTAGTATCAAGACAAAATCCATATTCAGACTGCCTTGGATTAACTGTTAAAGACATGTTAAGAAAATCCCCTATAATTATCAAATTTCAAGAGTTTATCAAATAAATTATATAATGATGAAAAATAATAAATCATTATTGATATAAGGCTTACTTAGTATATCCTCTGTAGCCTTGTATTTCGTATGGCTCACTAAAGCTTCAACTTTCTGAGCTTTGGACTCTACATATTCAACAATTAGTTCATCCAAATCGGAATATACATATTTGCCATTTTCAACTAAAAGTTTACGTCCGATTACGGCTCCAGTCTTATCTTCTTCAATAACATCTAAAAATTTTATATCACATATTTCAATTTATTTGTAAATTAAAAATAATTATTAAATAATAATGATAATAATCGATTCTGCCTACCAATGTGCTGATAAATATTATCATAAAGTTTCCAAGTAATACTTATATAATTAAGCCCTTTGGATGATGGTCGGATTACCAACGAACCAGGTTGCTTATCACGAAGATAATCTTGTGCTTCCGCAAAAGTAAACGGTTTGAACATAGGATGTGGTATCACACGTGTATGAGGTTTATGAGTAATTACATTCCTTGGTTTAACTAAAAGCACAATTTAAATAATATTTCTTTATTATTATTATGATTTATTATATTAATAATTATATACAAAATGTACAAAATGTTACCTTGTTTTGAAGTTTGTGCCCTTGCCTCTGCATCATAATCATAGTCAGAATCGACAGACCTTTGAGATTGAATGGTTTGTTTGCCATTCACATCTCTCGGACGGCAACTCAGAGTAACAGAAAATTTTATCTTGTCAATGGACAAAATTTTTGCATAGATTTGTTGATCTATATGGAATCTTGAACGTAATTCCGGTGACTCTATTCTGTGATCTGCGATATAACCAATGGTAATTGTTCCATCCAACCCTGAATCAAGCTGGCATTTTAGTGCCTTGTCTTCTATTTTGTATATCTTGACACACACTATAAGACCTTCATATAATGTGTCGTCAGTTTCTCCTGTGATCATTGCGAAAATTTTATCGGTAGAAGGTATTTCAAAAGGCTTTCGAGGATCTGCATAAGGATTCATCATTTCAGTTTTGATATTATGTAAAATTAATTTTGTTGGTGATTCATAATATTTCGAAAGACTTTTGGCATAATCCTCCAAAATAAGATCATTAAGTCTATCCGGTTCTTCTGATAGTCTTCTAAGAAAATCGCGACGATTAGATTGTTGTAATTCCTCCTCTGCTTCATCGTCGTCCAGATCAAGAGCATCCGCAGCCATTTTACGCGCTAAAATGTAATATGTAGGATGAATACGAGTATCGTCAAATGACTCTAACGCTCTTGGTCGAATTCGAATAAATCCGGCACAATTAGCATATACTTTAGGGCCTAGTTGATACACTCTATTTAAATCTTCCCTTTTTGCTACATCTATTACATCAGAACCATATCTTCTTTCCATGTCAATAGTCTGGCCCTAACATAGCAAGACATAAAAAGAATTGACATCATCTACCTACCAATTAATAAAGTCAATAACATATTAAAATTTTACCTCAAGTAAGACTCTCTTATATAGTGCATCGACCTTTCGAGGTCCTAAGCCACTAACGTATTGTAGTAGATCACTTTTGTAGGGAGAATTTATCGCATCATTTATATCGACACCAATTTCATTCACTATATTTATGAAAGCTCTTTGTAAACATTCAAGCTCTTTTTCCTTTGGCAGCTAGAGTAAGAAAAATATAAGAAAATTATAAGAAAAATGGAAATATGCACTAACCAAGAATAACATAAAATAATAATAATGATAATAATTCTTTGTTCTCATACCAAACTTTGCTGTGAATGACATTTTATGTAAGTAATCGATTCCTCAAGCGCAGCATATTCTTGGATGGGATTCTGCAACGATCTCGCCAAAGATATGCAATATCTAACAACCTCATTATATTCAGTGTCTGGATAATCCTGTCTTCCACGAACTGAATGCCTATATATTTTGGCTACTTCATCATTAATAATAATTATCGGAATATCATCACCACCATGATTTTTGTAATATCCAACCACATCTTGAACAGTCTCCAACAAATATTTTGTCCGATTATCGTAAGAACGTAATACAATCGCATTTGGTTTAAATTCACGAAGAAACGAATAAAAATCGTAAAAATCTTTTGATTCTTTGTCTCGAAGATCACTGAAGCGTACGTTCTCCAAAAGACGTCCACTCTCATCAAGGCAAACACATTCAGTAGGATGTCGGCCACCTGGACCCCATGAAACAGCCACTACTCGAGCAACATCATCCTCATCATCATCCTCTTCCTCCTCATCAAAATTTACAGGTTTAAATGGAGCTACGTTTATTTTCTTTTAAAGGATTCCGGGCGATTCAAAACAACGTAAATTATGAAATTGTTATGATATTACAAATAGAGTAAAAAAAATTTAATGAAAATACAAACCGATTCAAGGCCGAGCATGCATTGCCTCATTATCCACTGCTCAGCATCATCCTTAAGCCGTGCTTTTATCCATACGTCAATTATAGGGCATAATATTTTAGAATAAGCGGCATGAACTGCATCAATACGGAATTTATTCCACTTTTGATCAACTGGATTACCCCGATTATCACCAACTATATGTTTCTCAAGAATATCAAGAAAATCATCTTCACGTTCTAGTTCAATTTTAACTTTGAGCACGCCGCGATCCTCGCCTCTCATGATTTTAGCAAACAATCCTGAGTTTCTAAATCTACTAATCGGCTTTCTCAAGTATCTATAAGGCTTAATAAAATGAATTAAAAGTGTAAAAAATATTGACCACCAAATTAAACTTAATATATTTAAAAGTTTAAAAATATTAGAGGTACTCACCCAGCATTCATGATTGATGTCAATATCTTTATGTGGAGCTGGACTTACAACTATAATACCCTGCTCAAGAATACGTCGACGAACAAATTTCCTAAAAGAAGGTTCAAACCCAATATCTTGAGAAAGCATCTTTACGGCATCTAATTCCGATACAAAAAGTTGAAATATTATCTAAAAAAATAAACAATTTTACCTATTTTAACTAAAAGATTAAATTTACCTGCAAGCGCAAGCTCGACAGGATTTAAGTTAGTGAATTCAGCTTTTCTGGTATAGACAGAAGCAAACTCTTGCGCCGCGACATACGGATCCTGCATAGACTCATGAGGATAATGAATCTTTTTTCCAAGATTTAAGCTTTTTCCAAATTCTTTTACTCGAACACCAAATTTCTATAAATACAATTAAGCAATTAAAAATAATTCAGACAAACAATAAATAAATTAAAAGAATTATCCTTACGTTAACTAGTTTGTCAAGATTTCGACTCAGGCATTCCTCATAAAATGAAGCTTTTTTTACGTGTCTACGAGAAGTTAAAGCAGCGACAATTTGTTGAGAATATTGATGATGAATATAGCTATATAAATCAGTGAGCGCTTCAATAGTTGATGCATCAGATAGAAAATTGTCAACATGATCGTCGTCGATACGGTATTTCTTAATAGTTTCTTTAATTTCTTCACGTTTTTTAATAAACAATCTATATTTGTATTCAAGATCATAAATATGCCACAAATCCGCTCGTGTGAGAATTTCTCGTGGTGGTTTTGAGAAATCATCATCAAATTCTGCAATGTAATCTCGACGATATGTATATATATATGGAACCTAAAAGAACAATTGCGAAATTATAAGAAAATATTATTTTAATATAATCAAATAGAAATAGATATCTAGATAATGAATTTTACTTATTATTACCTCAAAGAATTCTTGCCCTAAACATTTTAATACTCGCTTAACAGCCACCATAAATTGATTAGTAGGTCGTTGTTCATTAAAGTATGCCAAATCTTCAGAAATCATTTTAGTAGCTTCCTCTATTTCAGCATCAGTTAACTTTCGACCTTGATCAATTTCTGATCGGAGCTATGAAAATAAAAACAAGTTTAACAAAATAAAATATATATATATATACGTGAATTAAAAAAGACAAAATAATCCGTACTAGCATTCTTTCCGGAAGATCCGTATTTTTAATCCGTATATCATCACTGGTCATTTTTAATCTCTTGAGAGCACTATCATCTAAAATTGCCTCTAAACCTTCAGCAGGTTCAACGTCCATATCTTCCTATAATATGTTGAATTCGTTTATTATAAACTCTGACAATAAAATAATTATTAAAAGATAAAGAATAATACCGGATTGTCAAAAGCAAATGAATATTTTTCATCAAGATCTTGAAAAGCTTCCTGCCAGAGTTTTTCCGGTCTATGAAGCAAAAGTTAGAAAACTCGATAGATAAATAAATAAATAAAAATAAATAAAAACATTATAATATAAAAATTAATTTTATACATACTCGCTCATATCATCATAATATTGTTTAGAATAGGAACCTCGGCCTCTTTGGCCAGTATCTCCTTCATCAAATTGAATATTATCATCATCATCATCATCTACAACAAAGTCGGAATCGTTTCCAAATTGATCTTCCATAGCATCTTCATCGTCGAAAATCCTCTTAACGTCATAAGCATTGCCTCGACTTTTTTCTTGACGCCCTCGCTTAAGACGTTTAAAATTTTGCTGATAAAATGTGATAGTATTGAGTTAACTATATTAACTATATTAACAACTAGAAAATTTAACACTACTATCTTCTTAAGAAGTTACCTCACTTCTGGACCTGTTTTCTCCTATTAATTCTAATTCATCCTCAGATATATCATCGACTAAAAAATAGATCCTTGTAAGAAATTTCTATGAAATGGAAAGAAAAGTAATAAAGAACCGCAATAACGTTTGAATTTTTACAATCAAGACTCCTTTCTCTTTCTCTTTTTCTCTTTTTTTGTTTTTTCTTTTTTCGTGATCGATATACTTCCTCTTCCTCCTCCTCCTCCTCTTCGTCATCGACAATGAAATCTTTTGCAACCTATCAATCAAATCGATAAGAATTAATTCGATAGGAATCGGTAGATCTTGTAAAATAATAGTTCATAATCTGTTGACGAGTACCTCTTTGGCTGCTTCCTCGTCAGTTTCCTCTTCTTCTTCCGACGAATCCATGACGTTGACTCCTTCTTCAGGTCCTTCTTCAACTCCCTCATCGACACCCTCGTCAATTCCTTCTTCGATTTCAGGCATAGTTTCTGGAGGCTTTTTTTTAATAAAAGAAATTTTAACTAAAACGCGTTATATCCTTATTTCAGCACTTTTAAACTTTTTGATGGAAGTTCATTTTGATTGGATCATATTATCGTTATTGGGTTGATCGGTTAATATTAACAGTTAAACGGTTTAAATTCCTAAAAATTTGATTGGCTATATTATTTGTAATAAAAATTTAAATTTATTTAATAAGCTTATACTTCTGTATATACTTTGATTTATCTGCAAAAAGTTTTGTTAAGATCGTTTTGTTATGTTTAAAGTTTGTCTTGTTACCAAAGCTTTGCCATGATTAAAAATTTAAAACCGGAGATTGTGTTATTCGTTTTTAATCATTTAATTTTTATATAGCGATAGTTAACGTTAAATTTGATCAAAAAATTACATTTTGATACATTTCTAATAAAAATATCAAAAAATGTATTGTCAATTAATATGTTTTGCTAATCAATGTTTTTAAGTTAACCTACCTAAGTTTATACCTATTTCATGACACCTTATTAATTTATTAGTTTCGTTCATTCATGTTTAGGCAGTATAACTATATATCATTATATATATATGTATATATATATTTAGAAAAACTATTTATTGTTATATTATATTAAGAGAATTTTATACTTCTTATACTAATGTCATTAATTACAGCTGTTTTCACAAATTCTGGAACAAGTACTATTTATTCAACGTTTCATATGACGACATGACAGGGACACGTGTTATTAATCATTTTTATCATTTTCTTTG